AAGTTGCCGAGTAAGGCAGGCGCCGCAGTGGCTCGGAGCTCCTGACGCTGGCGCGCGGTCGTCACGACTCCCAAGCCGAGATCGCGATCGAGATTGAATATTCACCGGCACTGTCTTTGGTTACCGGTAAGAGGGTCTCCTCCACTGTCCAGCAATCTATGCATCAATTCTTCGAGCATTGTTAGTTGTTGGCGTGCTCGTGCCAGTCGTCGCCACCCCGGGAGATACTCGCGATATCAGAGTGCGCTCGGTCCCAGATTCACCTTCACTTCTTGGATAGCGGCGAAGGCAGAGACCTTGACGATTGGAGCTCCCGGGCTAAAGTGAGTCATAGCAGACGCTGAATGTGTTCGTATTCGTACATCTGAAGACATGCGATGTGTTTGCTGGACAAGTCTGCGGACTCCAAACGCCTTCGTTAACGTTGACCCTTCGCGGTCATTTCTCCACGCTCTCAACGGGCTCATTCCGCTCAACAAGTCTTACAGTGTGACTCTTCTGCGCGCTTCGCTGGTCGTTCCCGCTTGTATACGGCCCGCTAATATCGCAACACACGTTGTTGCCGCTCAGTTATTGCAGGTGACCCGTCCATCAATCGGCTCGCACAGCCCAAGCTCGGGAATCAAGGTTTCACGCTCTTTCGGCTCGCATTAATCCTAGCTGCGGTGACCAGGTCATCATTGCCGACGTCGATTCGGTGCGTATCATCTAGTGAGACCAACAACCGATTGCATGACCTCTTCTTTGGATGCTGCTCGCGTGACAAATGTGCAGCTGACGCAGACGCACCGCAGTTATCCACCACGGTGCTCGTGGGCCACAGACAGCCCAGTCCCGTCTCCTTCAGTCTTTGCTGGACTGCATCTGGTGCGTAGTTGAGCTCTTTCGATAGGAGAGAAGAAGGGAGAAGCGAGAGCGGCGAGTTTTGTAGGCGCGTCCGAAGCGGAATCAACCCCGCCCAGCCATTCCGACCTTAATGAACATATTTTCAGAGTCAGAAAATTCATCATATTCATGGTGGAATGCTTGCCGGGCGGCCACGACCGTGATGTACTCCTTGGAAATGCACACACGCATCCTACCGAAACTAATGTGCGTGTATCGTTAGTATGGCTGACTGTAAAGTCTGACCCGATCTGCCCCAAGTCTTCCCCTGAAGATCCAACATCCCTCGCAACGCATACACGCCTTCTTCGCCTCCTACGTTGGCTCTGAGGACAAACCATGCGCGACTGGAAGTGTTGCTCATCATACGCTGCACGGCGAGTCTGAACGAGCTCGCGGGCGACTTCACGTCGTGAAGCTGCGTCGTTTGAGCTGCACGCGTACGATCCGGACACGGATACGTCAGTCCACATGTACATGGCGGGATGACGAAGATGGTGGGGGCGATGGGCTTGTGCGCATTGCGGTGCGGGACTCGGTGAGGCGGAACTATAGTTACTGTACGTAGCCTCTCATTCTGTCAGTGAAGAAACTCCCCTCTCAGCATTCGTGTTCTGCAGCTATATTCGGGTCGCAGGCGTCGTAGGCCTCCTCTCGCAGGTCAGAACATCTTCCACTCATTTGTAATATCTGCTGACCCGTCGCAGATGTGGGAGAACCTACATACACGCCTCATCCACCGGCATTCTGGCTTGTCGCAGCGCCGCACGATCCCCGCATGCTCCTTTACACCAAAATGCCTCACGTCTCCACGTGCTGATAAGCTCGCCTGCAATTTAAGACTGATCCTATTGTTCGCGCACTGGCACGATGTTATGTCGCGACTCGTGTTAGGCAGTGCCGGGATCTCGTGCAGTTTTCGGACGTTTTTCGATGAAGGAGGCTCTCGATAACGGAAGCAAATGACGACCTTCAAGAAACTGACTCGGGAGGACATCGGTAGCCTCGGGATCAACGTCAAGACGACCGCGAACCGCAAGCGGCCCTCCGAGACGTTGTCCGCTGGGGGCTGATACTCGCGCGCAGGTACACTTTGAATATATGTGACGAGAGTATGCACGTAGGATGCTGAACATTTTGCAGGAGACATCGGCGAAGCGCACGCTTCGGCTTTGCTTACAGAACTATTGAGCATACAGATGCTGTGGTCCCTGAACTCGGACGATCGGACGCGCATGCAAGATTGCGTGAAGTGTCCCATAGCTTGATATCGGAAGATGTGAGCTTCGCCGCTTCTTGTTTTCGTCCGGATGTGCGTTCATGACATTCCGTCCAAATGCAGCGACTCGCTAGTTCATCGCTGCTCATAATCACAAGCACGCAGGACCCGCAAGGCTTGCCGATAAGTGCGGAGGCGCGGAACAAGCCCGTCGGTTCCTACGACCACTCGGACCTGGCGTGCGGCAAAGGCTGCTATCAAACGATACGTGTCCGTTCTCATAGGTCCTGGATGAAGGCAGATCTGAGCGATGCTTGAGGTGAGTCTTGCAGAAATCCTGATACCACTTCGTACACCATAATCGCGTTAAAGTCAGGCAAACCACATCGCGCACTACGCGCTCATGTCCCGCCTACTCCTATTCATGAAGAAAACGTTCGCGATCGCCACCCACACTGGTCCGCATTGTTATGTAAAACGCCGAAACGCGCCGTATGGGGTCGTGGATGGCTGGATTCCTCTTCAAAGAGGACTTCGAAAACGACGAAGACGGCTGGATGCGATTCGGGTTCATCAAGCTCAGTCTCGTCTTCCCAGCTGAGCTCACCAAGCACTGGCTCGCCAGCCTATCGTACCCGTTCACCGGATGACAATCGATACGGACATGTGTGACCGGAGCCGTACAGTGCAATTGTAAAGGCACTCGACGTGCTCATGCGAGCTGGGCAAGAGCATGCCTCAGGGGCTGGAGGTGAGCACGGTTATCCTCCAGGAGAGTTGGAATGATGAGTACTACTCAGAATATACAAGAATCCGGGCGAGGAGAGCAAAATCGCCCAGGTCACCATTATCTCCGCGAACGTGTGGGAATCCGTGCGTACCTGACGAAGAAGCTACTTAGACAAGAAACGCACTTGAAGATTTTGTCGAGAAATTTCCCGATCCTCACGACGCGCAATGATGAGACGGATTGCATACTATGCACCGTCTCCTGCACACAATATCACTGTATGTATACTATGTACGTTTTCATCAGTGGTTATGTTCTCACTGACAAAATTAGGATTCTAGCGTAGCGATAGGCATGTAGATCCCAAGCGTTCGCATTACCACATAGAGGAACGAGAAAATAGAGGGGCATCAACACCTAAAAAAGCCCGCGACAACGAATTACTATAGGAACGTCCTTGGAAGCAAATCACGCCGAATACAGGCCATGCGCGCGACCACTCCAGCAGCTTGGGTACTTTCAAAGACGGGGAGCCCGCGCTGCTCGTCCACCTCCTGCCGATGCTGGTATGATGCAGCGCGAGGTCATTCGTCGGTCCTCGTCCGCCGCCTGCTCCACTCCAAGGACAGTGTGTTTCGTTTTTCGAGACGCGCGGTCAGCCACATGTCGGGGGCACTGCGAGAGGAAGACTGACCTCACCATTGCGCGTGAGCTCGGCCTCGCCGCGCACTTTTTTTCTTCCCAACCGCGGAGCAGTCGCCACGTTTCCGCCGCTCGGCGTATCCAGAATAGCCGTGTTGCACCGCTACTCGCGCCGGCCGAATTCACGTACCTCTTGCTCCCCCCCCAGCCACATGCAGATGGTGCACGGGATCTCGTCTTGCCTGACTCTGCCCGCGTCCTCCGCCCTGTCGACGCTGTTTGGCCTGATATGCGGACATTGTTCGGCGAAAGGGGACCGGCAGTTTCGCCTCGAGCGGGAGGGGAGAGATTATCGGATGGGGTCGGCGTGCAGCATGCGCCTGGCGCCCTTGATGGTCGTCGTGTGGAGGCTGTGCGGCGGACGTCACGATGACTGGCGATATAGCGATACGCTCCCTCAAAGCCTGGCACGAGCGTTCAATTCGAGCGATACGCACGCGGTCATGCCACATAAATGGAACCTTCAATTCCGCGCTCACTGTCCCATGCGAACGACCATCCACTGCATCACGAACGTCAATTTGAATTACAGATTCACAGGACCGAAGTGGTCGTACTCGCCCTCGGCCTCATCGCCCCATCGTACAAGCCCCCCATTCCAGCAGTCCTCCCGTGTGGGCTACATTGACTGACCTGGCCGTTGTGCGTCGGCGGCGATGTGCGCTCGACGAACCTGCGATTCAACGATCTCTAGAGCTTGGTCAAAACCGCAAGCCTTCAAAGTCATTTTGGACGCTTACCGCGAGTGACGGCAGGCGGAGAAGGAGCGACCGGCAATGTGCGCGAGGCGTCTGCAGCGTCACCGTCGTCGAGGATCGTGTGCGGGATGAGCGCGGCACCGGGGGGCCGATCAGACGAGTGGGGCCTCAGAGCACGGCAGCTTCCCGTAGGCGTGATTTGACCTGGCCGGACGGACCGTGAATCCAATGGCTGAGTTATTTTCGGCGTGGGGAGGTAATCGCGCGTCGCGGATCCTCTCGAGATCCATCGCCTCTGCGGCGCCGGTGTGGACGAGTCGCCGGGGATGTTGGATCATGACGTGGGCAGAGGACGCGGATCGGGAGGAGCAGAATGCGCGGGTACACGCGATCGGCGACGCGTCATTGGCTGCAGCGCACCGTCTTTCCACTGTGCTCCTTGAATCAGCGTCAACGACGAGGCGACGAACGAGGCCTCTAGACATCGAATTTCAGGAGCGAGGCTGGAGGCTCTTGATGTCAAAATGAAGGAAACCGTATCTCAGAAAGCACCCAATGTCATGTAAGATGCATGTGCCGCCATCAATACATATCCATTGACCGTCGTTCAGCAAGAAATTCCACTTCAGCCGAACAGGTTCCTAGGGCACCACAGAGAAGAATGCGTATTGTGAGACATGCAGTTTGTCTTCGGTAGATTGCGTCAGACACAACGCGTACATCAAAGCCGCCGTGCCCGTCCTTCACATCGGCTACTTTAGACACACCATCTCGATCCTTCAATGTATATGCAAGACCTGCGCGCGCGTGCTGCACGAGGAGCCCGACCGGCGGACGTACCTCAGGCGCTTTCGCCGACCAAATCTCGAGAACATCCAGTGGCAGGTGCTCTGCAAAGCCGTCAACGCGCGCGCGCGACAATGTATAGCCCATACTGCTCGGCGCGAACGGCACAGTGAGGAAGGTGGGCGCGCTCAAGATCATACGCGACAAGTTCCGCGCGAAGAAGACCGCGGAAGAGATGGAGAAGTCGAAGACGACGTTCGCGCCGGCGGTCGAAGTACAGAAGTAGCTGGGCATGTACTCTTGGAATTTTCCCGGCCGGACACTGCGGTAGCAGTCCGTGCCCATTTCAGTTCCCCAGCGACCTCTTTAGAGTGCGTATGAGTTGTGTAAACAGCTGGGGAACTGACTACCTAGGTATGTATTTTATGCTACCTTCTGCCCTTTTTCCCTGTGTGTTTCATTCCGTCTCCAGGTACCGCTTCCGACGTGTTTCACCACCGCAAAAACTTTGTGCTCGGCACGCCAGGTGCGTATCTAAGTGCATGCTGCACTTGGACTTCCAACATGTACATCAGTAAGGTGGTGCATGAAGACTTGAATG